GAACTCCTGACCTTGAGCGATCCACCCGCCTCGGCCTCCCAGAGTGCTAGGATTACAGGCGTGAGCCACCACGCCTAGCCGGGTTGTTTGATTTTTTCTTGTTGATTTTCCTGAGTTCTAAGTAGATTCTAGTTATCAGCCCTTTATGGGATTTGTAGCATGCAAACATTTTCTCCCATTCTGTAGGTTGTCTGTTTGCTCTTATGACAGTTTCTTTGGCTGTGCAGAAGCACATTTGTTGTTATTCAAAAAACCTTTCACTGTTTCATGTAAAAAAGTTAACTTAATAGTAGTGTTTTTTAGCTACATTTTCCTGGAAATATACATGAGGAAAAGCACATGAACTGCACAGGTGCATAAGCCCATTGGTCTTTCTATTCTTACTCCATTCTCAAATGACAAAAATTTTGTGAAGATACCTTTTGTTCCTTCAGTCTCCTGATTTGTCTTCTTAGCAACTACAGCATAATTTACTATTTAAATCACGTAGATATGAATTATGTAGGAAAAGAGTAAAACTTTGGCCAATGTAAGTATACAAGACAATATTCTCAGCTCTTTTTTAAAGTAAAAGAACATTTAAGTATTAGATATTTTTTAAAGAATGAAGTAGAAGATACATAGGATAAAAACTATTGCATAATTATGTACAAAATGAGAACCTCCTTTTTAAAAGTTTTTTATGGCAAAATATATATAACATGAGTTTGCCATTTTAATCATTTTTAAGCATACAATTCAGTAGCATTAAGCACATTCACAGTGTTGTGCAACCACTACCACCATCTATCTCCAGAACTTTTTTGTATTCCCAAACTGAGACTCTGCATCCATTAAACCATAATTACCCATTCCTCCCTCCCCCTGCCCCTGGCATCCACTATTCTGTTTTCTGTCTCTATGAACTTGATGACTCCAAGTACCTCATATAATTAGAGTAGTATGCTTTTTGTGACTGGCATGTTTCTATTAGCGTAATGTCCTTAAGGTTCATCTGTGTTGTAGCATATATCAGAATTTCTTTCCTTTTTTTTTTTTTTTTTTGAGACAAAGTCTCACTCTTTTGCCCGGGCTAGAGTGAGTGCCGTGGCGTCAGCCTAGCTCACAGCAACCTCAAACTCCTGGGCTCAGGCGATCCTCCCGCCTCAGCCTCCCGAGTAGCTGGGACTACAGGCATGCGCCACCATGCCCGGCTAATTTTTTCTATATATTTTTAGTTGGCCGATTAATTTCTTTCTAATTTTTAGTAGAGACGGGGTCTCGCTGTTGCTCAGGCTGGTCTTGAACTCCTGAGCTCAAACAATCCGCCCGCCTCGGCCTCCCAGAGTGCTAGGATTACAGGCGTGAGCCACCGTGCCCGGCCAATTTTAACTTTTTGAGGAACTACATTATTGTTTTCCATAGCAGCTGCACGACTCTTCATTCTCATCAACAGTGTACAAGTGTTCCAGTTCCTCAGCATCCTCACCAACACTTATTTTCTGTTTTTTTTTTGTTTTTTTGTTTTTTTTTTGTTTTTTTTTTTAAGCCTTCCTTATGGGTGTGAGATAGTATCTCATTGTAGTTTTGATTTTCGGTTATGTTTTTTTATCCATCAGTCTGTACTTTTTAAGTGGGACATTTAGACTGTTTACATTTAATGTCGAATATTGATAAGTGAGATACTGTTCTAGTCATCATGTTGATTGTTACCTAGTTGCTTTGTTTTCTCTCTGTGTTACTGTTTTATAAGAGCTGTGAGTTTTTACTTTTAAGTGTTTCTGCACTGGTGAGTATTGGCCATTCTTTTCAGTGTTCAGAGCACTTTTGAGCATTTCTTGTAGGTCAGGTCTAGTGGTGACAAATTCCTTAGTGTTTGCTTGTCTGGGAAAGACTTTATTTCTCTTCCATTTATGAAACTTAGTTTTGCAGGATACAGAATTCTTGGCTTCTGTTTAAGATGTTATTCTATTTAAGAAGACTAAAGACCCCAATCCCTCTGGCTTCTATGGTTTCTGGTGAGTCTGCTGTTAGTCTGATGGGTTTTCCTTTGTAAGTTACTTGGTGCTATCTTCTTACATCTTGCAGGATTTTCTCCTTCACTTTCACTTTGCCCAGACTGATGATTATGTGTCTTGGTGACGTCCTATTTGAAATGCATCTTCCAGGAGTCCGATGACATTCTTGTGTCTGGATGTCTAAATCTCTAGCAAGACCAGGGGAGTTTTCTTTCATTATTCTCTCAAATAGGTTTTCCATGCTTTTTACTTTTTCTTCTCCCTCAGGGATGCCTATGATTCTTACATTTATGTGTTTTACATAATCCCATATTTCTTGGAGACTTCATTCATTTCTCTTGATTCTTTTTCCTTTATTGTTGACTAACTGGTTTAATTTGACACCCTTGTAATCAAGCTCTGAAATTCTTTCTTCTGCTTGGTCTAGTCTGTTGTTAAAACTTTCCACTGTATTTTCAAATTTCCCAAATGACTCTTTTATTTCCAGAAATTCTGTTATTTTTTCTTAAGTATCTGTCTCTTTAGTGAATTTTTCATTCATGTCCTGAGTTATTTTTTTGTTTCTTTGTGTTGGTTTTCAGCTTTCTCATGGATCCCATTGAACTTTACA